CACCATGTCCTGCCACCCCCGTCCACACCATGTCCTGTCACTCCCCATCCACACCATGTCCTGTCACTCCCCGTCCACACCATGTCCTGTCACTCCCTGTCCACGCCGTGTCCTGCCACCCCCGTCCACGCCGTGTCCTGTCACTCCCCATCCACGCCATGTCCTGTCACTTCCTGTTCATGATGTGTCCTATCACCCCCCCCCCCCCCATCCACCTATCTGCTGAGTGGGCTGACAACCGCCAAGGCTTGTCAAAGTCATACCATGTCTCAGACCTCGACAGGGTTCTTGAATGTATTCTCAGCCTCTACACAAATAGCGTTGGGTGTTATTTGCCAGCGCATCCCCTTGTAACCAGTAACTGCTCATGGAGGTGATATCTGCCCTACATCCAGTTTCTCAACCTTCTTGGTGCTGCTCAGACATCTGCATGACCAGAAGAGGAAACTGCTCTCTCTTGAGGGTTTTCAGGAGATGCCCAAGCTGCCGACCCTTCCTTGCTTGCCTGACTCCAAGCTGCACAGTCTATGTCCTGTGCTCTTTCTTCTCTGTTTGGACGGTTGGACATCCTTCTACCATCCCCTTTAAGGCATTCTCGTTGGTGTCTGCTGATACAAAGCCGACTAACTTCAACAGGAGATGGAGAGACCTTCCCTGTTCTCCCTTCTCTGAAGTTCTTCCACCTCAGCTCCGAACCACCACTGTGGTTTCTTCCAGGGAGCCCAGCCTCCCTCCCTGAGGAGCTGTGGCCTGCCCCTCCCTATTCCATGCTTTCTGGCACGCGAATGCTCCACCTATCTTGTGTATATCTTCGAGGACTCTCTTGCTTCTTCATCCCAGACATGGATGGATGCTGAGGAGAGGCCTATACTACGAGAGTGGCTTGTTTATTTCCATATCTCAGGGGTCCAGCCAGTTACAAGCAGTAGCCTGGAACCCTCAATCTGAGTCTCCCTGGGCCTGGCATATGGCCGTGATTCTGCAGAGCAAAGGAGTTACCCTGCTGTCCTTACTGGACTCAGAGAGGCTGTGGGTGACAGTCTGCACTTTGGAAGCTGTGGAGCGGAATCCTAGTCAAACCGTGCAACTCGTGGCACAGCATATAGGTTGCCCGGATGCGGGTTGGGCACAGGCTTTGTTACTGTTACATGTGGGCACTAAGCGGGCCTGTCTGTCCACCGGCTGCACCCTGGAGAAGTGCACTGGATTCCTCACTAACAAGGATCCCAGTGTCCGCTGGCTGGCAGAGCATAGCCTTTTCTTATCCTCTGATAGTGATCCAGCCACCTAAACCCATCTCTCCCGATAGGGGGGCTGGACGTTTCTGGGGAGCAGTTGTTACTCAAGCTTTGATTCCCATTAAGGAAGTGGAGCTGGCAGCTCCTAACGTCATCGCCTTCATCCTCAGGCGCTGTTAGGTAATTATCCAAGGTGCTTCTGGGTGGCGGGCGCCCCAGGTTGAGCTTTGTATACTTCTTTCCCTTTAATTCTTCAAGCTGTCTTCTGACACACATGTCACTCCCCCGGTATCTCAGATGAGGGGACTGCACCTTTGACAGCATCACCCCCAACCCCGCCCCACGCTACTGCCCTTCGGTCCAGGACCGTCTGATTGCAAAGTCTGTCCTAGTTTCTGATACGCTACACTGTAAAAGCCACCATCTACTGATCCATTAGGTGCCCGGCTCAGTCCATAACCAGGAGGCACTCAGGGGACACGCTCCTGCTGGCATGGAGCGGGCTGGCATGAACAGGGCACTCCCTAAGTGGATCCTTTATTTTAATCTTTTTTTAAGGCTGCTGTGAAATATTTATTATATTTCATGCATGCATGCATGGCTTGTGGTAAAGCCAGGAAGGCAACATTGAGCCTTCCCCATTACCCTAACACCACCCTCTCAGATGAGAGGAAAGAAAGCAAAAGTTTGAGCCGGGAAACTGACTCTACTTCATCCCAATTGCACAAGGAAGGGTTTTTACCACTAGGCCCATTTGAAACCATGGAGTAGGCACCTGACACCTGACAGTGTTTCTGACTGGTCACCAGGCTTATTTGACAGAGGGATGTTTGGGGACCCGTGGTGATGGATGGCTATTTTTCTGAATCTAGATCAGCCAGGAGCAGGGGCCTACTGGATCAGGTGAAGGCCAGAAGAGGGATTTCATACTAACATTTTGGAACCTTCTATTATCGACTCATTTGTAAAACAAATACCATCTTCCAGGCCCTTCTTGACGTGTCTCGGGTTCGCACAGAGAAATAGTCACTGCCTTCCAAGTGTCTGTAATTTAACTGAAGGCAACAGATGTGTAAGCAAGGACGTGGGAGCTGTCTTCTCTAGCTTCTGCTCCTCACCTCCAGTGTGCTGTCTGGCAGATGGCTGAACCCTGCTGGGCCCCGAATCCTCTGTCCAAAACCAAGTAAAATGTGTCTATCTGCCCCCCTTCCCTCTCCTCTTCCTTTTCCTTCTGCATTTCTCATTCTTCAAGGTAATTTATGTGCACACACATTCCTTGAGCAACTACTGAGTTCTAATGAGTGAGATGCAGGATTGGCCTGGAGAACACAGATTCGAGGGGTGGCAGCTGCTGGCATGACTCATTTTATCGAGCCCCTCACCAGAGCCATGCACACAGGGGTTGCAAAGCCAGGAGCTGAAGTGGGCCTTAGCTTTGGCTCTTCCCCTAGCACAGGCTTCTCAAGTCCACGCAAGCCGTGCCGAGAACCCAGGGCAGGTCCCACAGCGTATCGTAGTACTTAAGCACCAGGCTCAGCACATCCCGAGGAGGACACCCGGGGGACATGTTCCTGCTGGCACGGAGCAGCCTGGCATGAATATGGTACTCCCTAACAGAACAGCTACAGGCAACTGACAAACCGTAGCTCTAATCGGATGCCATATGGGCCGGTCATGAAAGGCTGAACAAGCACCATTTTCCTTGGTAGGAATATTATTTATATCTGCACTTGATTAAAAGAACTCACGCCGGGGGAAGGCCTACAAGCCTACATACAAAATCACACAATTGAATAACAGCATCTTCTTAGGAACAAAAGCAGCAGTTCTGACCAAGAAATGTCATCCCCCCCCCCCCCACACACACTCTAGCTGTTCCTCGCTCTAGCATGCGACTGGACGTGTGCACATGGAAAAGCCGCTGTACCTGCTCTGGGCTGTGTTTAAGAATGTGCCCTCTAATGTATCTGCCTGAGTGGTGTACACGTGTGCACATGACGCTGGGGGTGAGGTTGGGTCTTTGATGCTCTCCACTTTATTCTTCCAGGCAGGGCCCTCCCACTGAGCTTGGAGTTTAACATCTCATACTTCCTCCTGGCTGTATGACTCTATTGTATCTTTACCCTTTCTCAGCTCAAGAATGACTTCGGACTGCCGGCAGACACTTCCCCCTGGATGTGTGACTATGTTGTATCTTTTCTTTACCCTTTCTCTGCTCAAGGTGAGGCCACCACTTTTCTCCTACCCCCGGTCTTGCTTTTAGATCCTCATCCTGGTGACGTCACCACTATCCACCCCGGCATCCACAGACAGGAAACCCCTCAGTCTCACACCCGTCTCTAGCCAAGCCCCGCTGGTTCCTCATTCCCATGGTTTCATCACTTCTCATCACTTAGGGTAGGGACCCTTTGGCCCAGAAATCATTTTCGGTGACTGCAGGATTCACCGTGTTGACTCAGAGTTCAGCATGCATGAAGCATTACTGTATTAGAAGACATTGCAGAGAAATGATTATCTTTACTTCTGGAAACTGTGCTGGTTTAATGTCCTGACCAGAGCGGAGAACACGGGGTCATCTTTTGCTGGCTCCCAGATCCTGCCATACCTCCTGCTTTGTGTGAACTCTTCTCCCTCCTCTGAACCTCTCCTCTTTCACCAGCCTGGCTAACTGCCTCTCATCTTTAAGACTTGTTTCTCATCAGGCAGTGGTGGTGTGCACCTTTAATCTCAGGATGCAGAAGGCAGAGGCAGGTGGATCTCTGTGAGTTCGAGGCCAGCCTAGTCTATGGGGTGTGTTCTAGGACAGTCAGGGCTAGAGAAACCCTGTCAAAAAAACCAAAAGAAAAAGTCTTGTTTCCCCTACTCATCCAGAGCACACCTCCTCTGTGTCCCTTAGGACCCTTGCCACACATTTTTGGCCAAGTATATCATAACTATATTCATTTTATAGCCCAGTTGACAGTAAGTAACCAATAGGCAGACAGTATATCCTACCCATTGTTGTCACCCTAGCACTGGTCCTGACACAGACAAGGTCTCAGTGAGAAAATGTTCCGTGGGTGACACAATTATTAAAGGAAGAATGTGTGAGTACGTGGCCTGGGAAGATGCGTGGACATGTGATCTGGGGGAAGACTGCATGGACATGTGGCCTGGGAAGATGTATGGACACGTGACCTGGGGAACAATGTGTGGACACGTGGCCTGGGAAGATGCGTGGACATGTGATCTGGGGAAAGACTGCATGGACATGTGGCCTGGGAAGATGTATGGACACGTGACCTGGGGAACAATGTGTGGACACGTGGCCTGGGAAGATGCGTGGACACGTGACCTAGGGGAAGAATTTGTGGACACGTGGCCTGGGGAAGACCGAGTGGACACGTGGCCTAGGATGCAGCCTGCCTCCAGGTTAGTAAAGCCTTCTATCAGCTCTGAGGGCAAACAGTGTCAAAGCCCTTCAGCTCAGACCATGGGATCAGAAAGAGCTGACTGCAAAGTGGGTATTGATCCAAGATTCCCCTCAGACCTTTGATTTTCACTCACCCCATCTGTCACCCAGTGGGAAAGGTGCAGCTTTGCTCGAAAGCCCTCGGGCAGCAGTGTTGTCGGTGGGAGTGCTGGAGGCTTGCTGGAGGCTGGGTCTTTGCCTCTCTTGCAAACACATTTGAGCCTCTGGCCTGTCCACCCTCTCAGCCTCCTCACACCAGACATCAGTCTCCCTGCAAGAGCTGCTGCTGGGGCTGAGCCCCACGGACTTACCCTCCATCAAAGGGGTTCTCCCCGGGGATGACGTGTGTGCTGTCCCTGCCCACGAGGAACTTGACGCGGTCGTAGAAGGATTGCAGGTTCTGCTGGGGTATGGGGGCCTGGGTCTCTTGGATGATGTCCAGAGGATCGGGAGAGCCCAGGCACAGCGGGTTGACGTGACAGAGGGGCTGGAGGCAGCAGTCGGGGTCCATGCAGTCCACCAAGCCATCTGCAGGGGCGACAGAGCATGTGCAGAACATTATATAGCTACGTTCAATCAGCTGTGTTTGCCTATCTGTCCCTCATTGCCAAACTTCAGATGCAGACAGAACCCAGGGCTTTTCAGAGCTCAAGAAGATCCAGGTGCTTCAGATGCCTCTGGCCCCAGACTTTCTGTCTCATAGGTGATACAGCTAGGTAAGCATATGGTGTGTACACTGTTTGTCCTCTTCTAAGGAGACAGCAGAAAGGGTTTTGGAGAAAGCTCAGAGGAGAGAGAATGCATGGCCATCAGAGATGCTAAGCCAAAATGCTGGTGTTTAGGGGGGAAATAGCAAGGATGAGGCTGCGGTGTGGGTTGGGGGCAGCTGTGCTGGACCGTTTAGTCCATGTTAGTGACCTGGAAATTTGCCCTCATGCCATAGGTACCCCCAAAGGCTTGCAACAGAGGGTGATTTCACCCAAGGCACACTGCTAAAACTCACAGATGGAAGGGCAAGGTGCTGAGGTTGCACAGACGGGAAATGGAGCAGCTTAGGTGAGAGTGGCACTGGTGGAGAACGCACAGTCGTTTTTGAGGGACCTACAGGGTGAAATCTAAAACCTGGTGACTCCCTGGCTCTGGTGTGAGGAAGAAGAAAGGATGCTCAGGCCCTGTAAGCGTGGCAGCTTCCTCAGCTGTGGGATCAGTGGCCTGGGGCACAGCCCTCAGCCCTGCAGAGGCCCAGATCTGTCTTCTGTGAGTTGTGACTTGTGGGAAGTTGTCTTGACCACATGGATGGGTAGCTTCAGGACCCCTAAACTATTACAGCTCACGCTACTTCCCAAATACAAAGAAAGAGATTAGCCTAGGCTACACGGTTCAGGCTTTATTATTGTAAGGAACTCTTATAGTTCCCAACTAACAGTTTAGGATGGGTAACTGCTCCAGAGATTAGAAGATGGGCTAGGAAGACCCCAGAGTCACATCTTGGATGTTACAAGCAGAGGTGACCTGTGTACTGCCCTGGCTTGACAGCTTCTGAGCTGTGTGACACTGGAAAACTTTCCAACCGTCCTGGTCCCAGCGGTGCTTTGGTTATCTCTGCTGTACCCCTAGCACTCAGCAGATGTGCTTTGAAAAGGCTATTAAATGAACAACAACAAACCAAATAAACAGTCAACAAATGACGCAGCAGATATCACGAGATGCTAGTCTGTAAAAGCCAGGACATGATGTCTTCAATCAACCGTATTCAGCAGTTGCTATGATGGTAGGATCATAAGCCATGGAGCCTGAAGTTCATGTCCCAGGACTGCCTGTCAGACTGACTCCAGACAACTGGCCGAATCCAATCTCTCCGAATACCGTGTTCTCACCAACAGTACCCAAGAAATGCTGGCACAGCCAGCTCACCTCCGTTTTCCTAGGATTTATAGTATAGACTGCAACTGTAGAGCACGGCATGCCCCCTGGCTCTCCTCTGGTTCCCTCATTCTCGCTGGCTGAGTCACTTCAAGCCTACCTTCTATGGTGTGTTCAACAGCTGAATGAACAGTGATTGGGGAACTTAACTTTAGTTAAATGGCCAAGCCTCTTAGTCGACCTCAATCCCAGTTTCTTGCGCCCCCTTAAGTAAATTAGGGACAACCATTCCTGGCAATATTCCATTTGTTGTTGTTTTTTCCATCCCACCCCCCCCTCCATTTTCTGTACAGTACCCAAGTGCCCGTGGCCTCCTGGCAGGGAGCACAGTGACAGAGTCTGGATTCCAGAGCTAGAGGACAGGATCAGCTGTCAGCTGTGACTCCTGGGATCAGATGTCAGCTGTGACTCTTCCCATTGTGTGACCTTGGGTAAGTCAGTAAATCTGGTCTCAGATTCCTATATTTTTCTCAATTTTTAAAATTACTACAGTTTCTTCAGGTGTGTGTGTGTGTGCGCGCACGAGCTTGTGTGTGTGTGTGTGTGTGTGTGTAAAAGCATGGGCCACAATGTGCATGTAGCACTAAGGGGACAACCTTGGGAGTCTTTCCTTCCACTCTTTCAGTCCCAAGGATCAAGCCCGGGTTTGGGTTGGTGACAAACCCTTCACACACTGAAGGCCTTTATTTAGCCAGCTTCCCATGTTCTCACACAGATAATAAGAGGGTCATTAAGTTTCCTTTCAACAATGACCCATGTAGCACTACATCCCCAAATTCAACCCAGTACTGGGTACACAGTAGGTGCTTAATAAAGGTAGATTCTGAACCTAAAACATGGTTGACTGAAATGAAGGACTACCTACCTGTACCTCACCCCAGAGAGGTTGTGGGTGGTAACCTTAGCTTGTCTTCTAGCTTCCAGGTTCCACGGCCTAGCAAAGCAGCCGCCCTCTCCTGCCGATGGCGGTTTTCATTGCATCCCTTTTGGCTGCCGCCGTCAGACATTACTTAAACACATAATTACAGCCCAAGCAGAGGGTTATTTGCATTCTGCTATTGATGTGAGCGTGACAGTTCCAGCGGCCGCATCCATAACTCTGCAGAGATGCTCCATTATTCAATCTTAGCGAGCAGGGACGGTGACCATTAAATCAGCCGGCACAATTGAAGGGCCGTGAAAAGTCATGGCTAATTTGAAATTTTATTAGCTCTTGCCTGCTCCTGTTTACCACCAAAGTAGTCCCTGGAAGCCAGTCTTTTACTTTTCCATAAACACTCTGCCATGCGGTGCCTGGGAGGGGTGCCTACTCTCCAGCTCTGAGGAAGGTGACCCGGGAGTGAGGGTGCTTCTCACCATGTTAGGTTGGTGGAGAGGACAAATGACAGGGACATCAGGCCCTGCACTGTGCTAAACACTTTATAAGGACTAAGGGCCTTAGTGCTGACCCATCCCGCGAGGGAGCGACTGTTCAGAGAAACGGAACCACATCTTAGGCATGGTAAAGCTGATGGCTGTAGAGGTAGTTCCTAAAGAAGTTGAGGGGGGATCTGAACTCCGTTCTTTCTGACACACGGAATGTTCTCTGAGTCATCCTGGAGAGACTCACGGGAATAGTTTTGTAAATGGAGAATGGGAATTTGGGAGCCTTACTGAAACGATGCCCTGTTATGCCAGGCTCAGCACGTAAGACAATTTCTCTCCAGCCAGATGGCCACCGGAGTTGTGGGACCCTGTGCAAGTCTTAATGTCTCCAGCCTCGGTTTCTTTAGCCATGCATCATGACAGACAAAGGGTGGCACTTCCTTCTTTAGACTCATGGATCCGTCCACATCGGCTGTGCGTGTATGAGGCTTCCTCTGTAGCCTGGCTGTCTCCAATCCCAGGACTCAGCACGCGTGCTCTGCAGTGAACCATATGCCATTCCTTAGGCATTTTATTTAGGATTGAATCTTGCGTACGTTCTGGAAAGTTCTCCTATAAACCGAGAATGCTCCTTTCTTCATTTCTCTCTGGCCCTTTCTTCGGGATGCTAATAAAAGTTTAAAGGGGCCGGCTCCTATTTCACGCCTCTCAGCCCCTGCATTTCTTTCCTTGTATTTGTGCCCCATCCTGATAAATTTCCTCAGACTTCCATTCTGCTTCCCTTATCTGCCCTTCATTTGTGTCTGGTCTGCTATTTAATTGGTCCCCTGGGTCATTAACTTAAATGACCATATTTTAAGACTGTAGATAGTCTCTTTGGGACTTTTAAAAATCTGCCACCCCCCCCCCCCCCGTAGTATCTTGTTCCATCCTTATGGTTTTACACATCAGCTATCTCTGTAGCCATGTAAAAGTTTATTTATGGTATAGTCTCTCTTGCATTACGTTCTTGTAGTCATCCTCTTGCATGCTATCGCTGTTAACCCCAGCCTGTAGTCAGCCATTCCTGCCTGTTCTAGAAGTCTCGCTGGGGATCTCACGTGGTTGGTGAACCCTCCAGCATGATTTCTGGTGATTGCTGCCTGCCATGCCAGAGTACCACTCACGCAGGACTGCTTTCTGGGTGGATCTTCTAGCTTGGCGTTAGTACTCTGGTTTGCAAGATTATGGTAGGGCCTTTCTGCTGTGAGTTCTGTCTCTCACGGGCGCCTCTTCTGTGCCCTAGCTCCGTGCCACCCGCTCTGCTCTAGCAGGCACCTGCTTCACATCTAGGCTCTAGGGCTCCAGTTTTCCGTGTGGTGGCAGCAGCAATGCCCCACTGTGAGCACACCCTGCCATTGCTAGCGTGGTGCCGCGGCTTCTGTGCCTGCTGCCCTGGCTTCAGCTTCACTTTGTTCCTGCCTGCCAAGGCTCCCTGCTCCCCATTTCTCCTCCATCTTGTGGGCAGTAGGGTGCTATGATGACCTGCCCGGATCATGTATTTGCTGAAAATACACGTCCCCCGCAAAATCTCTGAGCCTTTTCCTCCACCTGTTAAATGGATCACCGTGAAGTCTACTTCTCAGAGACGCTTTGAGACTCAGGGAGGGAGGCGGTGAGAGGTTCCCATGTAAGGACCCGGCCAGGGACAGTGACTGGTGGCTTCTGACAGGCACTTCCCTTTGGCCAGTATCCTGGTATCCTGGCAACCAGTTGCCATTTGATCAAGCCCTGGTCTCTTCCTCTGCACACATTCCAGGCAGGATTCTGGGTGCAGTGTGACCCCAGAGGTCTGAGCTGGATAAAGCCAGCTGGGGTGACACATGTAAATTAGGTTACTGGAGCTCTCAGGGCCCTTTCGAAAGGAGACGCCACATAAACTGCACCCTCACCAGAGACCTTGGGACTGAGGAATTGCCCACTGGGTGCCTGGTGATTGATGCCAGGCCAGAATTCTGCCTGCCTGCACCTTGGTAAGCTGGTGTTTCCTCCTCGCACATCTGACAAATATTTGCTGAGCAGCAAACGTGGGCAACTCCTCCACTGTCACATTTAAATGAGACACATGCTTTGAAATGAATGGGGGGGAGGGACCCACAAACTTCACTCTCAAAGATGCATTTTATAAGCCCAGCATTTGTGCAAAACCTTTGTGTTCAGAACTGGCACTGGCAGCCTGTGACACTGTGGACATCTGCTCC